TGAGTACCGTAATTCTAGCAACTGGTGTGTGAAAAAATCGCCTTACAGCTTTCAACAGGATGCAGGATAAGCAATGACCTTTTCAAGTGAAATGCAAATTGCAAAACAATCGCAGTCATCAAATCATCCAGTGGAACAGCCATTAAGTCCGTCTTCAGTCAGACTTCCTAAGAAGTGTTTTTTGTGCATCTGGCTCGCTACCTTTTGACCTTGGTCTGCAGCCAGTTCTGCTCAGCAACCTTTACACCATGCTAGCTATTGCCTTTTCCCACCTGATCCTCATTAGAAGCAACTTTCTTCCTGTTTTGTAAAAGAAATAGGAAATCTGCTCATCCAGCCTGATGCAGTCCAAGACACTCGCTGCCAATAAAACACTCTAGCTGCAAAATGTTAGAGGAGTTGAAAAAGGCCAAGAACAACATTACAGAAAACTTATGTGATTGAAAATTAGAAAAATAATGGAACCCTGAAAATTAAACTGCGTTATGGGGCTATTGCAGCTTCTCATCTTCTCTTCCTTTTTCTTTATATACCTACTACGTGAGATGCAGTAACTTGAAATCAAGTGCTGTTTTCAAGGATAAGTATCCATAGCCTGTTGCTGTAGGCTTAACTGACCTCTTGCATAAAGTGTTGAACTTCTGCAGCTTGCAAAAATAGGGAGATCTGCGAGTGCGAAACAGCCAGCACATATACAGCTTCCCCACAAAATGACCTCCTTTATTTCTCCCTCTCCCACAGCACCACAAGGGAGTCGCCCCTCATTCCATCCGCAGCTTCCATGCAATGTTGAGCAGCCCTCTGTTCACTGCACCTCGCAGCTGCACTGCCAGCCTGCTGCCCCCCCCAGGGGCGTGGGGCCATGTTGCAGAGCCCGCAGCTGCCCCTGGAAGGTCTTGCTTGCTTCCCTCGAATTTTTTAGAGTTGCTAGGGAACAGCCTGGGATAGAAAATTAAGTGAAGTTTATCATGCAAATCAGTTTTTCCCCCCAGGGGAGGTGTAGCCTAATCACTGGATTTTGATTCTTCTGAGAGTTATAAACATTATTTGATCTTTGTAACTTCCTCATTAAAGATTTTTCAGAATATCTCTTTTAATCTCTTTTCCTAGTACAGAAAGGGAATGTACCTGAATTCTTACTTTTTTTCACATAGCCAGAATATAATTTCCTGTCCAGCTTTTCCTGTAGCAATTAATTTAGCCTGCATCACCACAGATACAATGCTGTCATGTTCCAGCTATAAAATTAAAACAAGAAGATCAATGAATACAGTTCATAGATACAGAGTAGATAACAAGAAGTAAAAGGTATTTTCATCAGCATAATTGTTTCAGTAAACACTGCATGATAGCAGAAGGACAAGTACTATAGAAAATGTCAGTTACAGTAATTACCTGAACTTTGGATAGCAGTTATGAATAACTCAGTGTTTCTGGTTGTGTGTGGGTAGTCTGTAAGATCTAAAGCATCAAAAAAACAGAAGTAAGAAAAATTATTTAGTAAAGTAAAGTATATTTAACAGATAGGGAAAAAGTACAAATTACACAGGAAAAATGTTATTCTAAATTGAGCTGGGTCTGTTACCCTATGGGGAAACAGATTGCAGGAAAAAACACTCATGAATATTTGAAACAACGAAGCATGAAGCAAAGGCGCTCGGAGAGACAGTCTTGCGCTAGCAGGGAGATGACCTGGTGGACTTCATATTATTCAAATTACATGCCTATTTAAACAGTTTATTTTAATGTTTTTCTGTCACATGCTTGCACTTTTGTTGTTACTCTTCTGGAAGAGCAGGAGTTGGTGGTGAGTGGGCACACAGCAACACCGACTCTGCCATGGCTCTGCAGGGTCCCGCTCTGCCCTGCAGGCTCTCATGCCCCAGCCTCCACCCTCACCTCCACCACACACCCCCCCACACTCTCCCAACACAAGGCTTTACCCTTCCTGCTTTCCTCTGCCTCCTCCTTTAAAGACCTGAGTTTTGTGAAACCACTGGTTAAATCAGCTTTTTCCTGTGATCCCCCAGTCCCTGACAAACCTACACCTCCACACATGCTAAGTGGCAGCTCATGACAGTGGGAATTTGCTCCACTTTATGCCTTCTCCAGCAAACCAGATCTTTTAAGGGAAAGGATCTGTTTGTTGTGCTCACCAGCTGCTTTTGCAGATGAATTTTTGCTGTATTTTGCAGCTTGAACCTTACTAAGCAGTACAGGGAAGTGTGCCCGCATGTTGTAATACCCATCAATCCCAGGTTGAGCAGCCAGGGAGCAACCCATGAGTGGTATTCAGAGCCCAGCATGGCTTTGGGGTAGCTTCACATGTAGAAAATCTGCTCACCAAGAGGTGTATGGCCTTCCACTGCCTTTTCTGGGAGCTCCTGGACAACCCTCAGCACTGCCCTGGGTCCCAGTCTGAGATGCTCAACGCTGTTACGGACTGCACAGGGCGCAGAGGTGCGTAACAGCTAGGCTTGCTGCCCCGGGGTTATGGATGGAAACACCCAGTGCTTAGACATGTAAATCCTTTGCTGAATCTAGCCTGATACCTGTCAGACACTGATATTCTTCAGAGGGAAAAAGCGTGACGGAGTGAACAGCAGTTATTATCGACGTATGCCCATTTGCCTCTTGTGTCAATGTCTGTACGTATGCACATGTATAGGTACGGATCTATCGTACACACCTCTCTATGTCCATCCCAGCTCGTCCACAAGGGCTGCTGGAACACATCTTCCAGCAAATGTGCAAGCTCACATGGTGGAGGGTTAACGGCAGGGAGGCATCCCCCTGAGAGCGGCCCGCAGCCTGTCTGCAGTGCAGGCACGTGAACGGGGAGCACATGGAAAATTAACTCGCAGCCAGTTTCAGAGCAGTACAGGTATCACATGAAGTCATGCCTTTACTGCAGGATGACAAGAGCAGAATTCATTTTCTCAGTAGGGAGCCTTCATTATAAAAAAACTAAAACCCCTTAAAAGTACTCAGACACAGCATTCACTCCCATTTGCCTAAGAAGGAAACACTGTACAGGAGAGCTCGCTGTGAACAAGATTGACTGTAAACTTCCATGCCACAAAGATAAAAATTTTATAGCTCATTAGAAGATATGCACATGGAAGATTCAGAGGAATATAAAGAAGAGTTTCTTATCATGGGGATCAGAAAATTAACTTGGCATTCAGTTAAGGGGCATTCTTAGTTCAAATTTCAAGGTAATATTTTTTTATTATTATTATCCATAAGAAATAGCATAGCACACACTAGCAAATCCCTTAGAGAAATAAACAGGTTCAGCTCAGGGCAGCAGCTAGTCTTGCTGTGTTTTCACTTTAGCTATGACTTAAGAGTGACCCACCTTATAAAAATTCTGTCTAATGACTATATTGTTTTGTGAGATATGTTCTTGATGTTGACATCCTGATAGATCCTGAAAACGAAAGTGAGAATGGCTTCCCAGATCCTTTAAGAACTAAAGAAGCAGTAATGGTGGTGGAAGCTTGAAATAGTTGTACTTGATCAGAATGTGTGGCAGCTTTGTACCAGCTGCTGTTTCCTTTCCTTTCCTTCTCTGGTTTGTTGTAAATGAACATCCACCACATTTGGATAAAGATAGAGCAGAAAAAAAGTGCTGGCTGAGCAGATTTGAAATGTCACACAAAGCACTGTAAAACCTCTGTGAGATACAACATGAGATTGTGTGTGGTGGTGCAGCTCACACAGGTACAGCCCAGGATGGCAGGGGGGGACAGCTGAGCCAGTACTTTCAGGACTCCTGCCCAGTCAGAAATCTTATAGGCCATGTCAGAAAATCCTCATAGTCATTTGTTGTTACCCATACATAACCCACCTCACTGAATATCACTCAACAATACCTGCAATAAACTCATTATTGCAATGAAGATTTGAGCCTGGGCCTATGTTTTTGCATGGTCCCCTGTTCTGATTTGCTCACTGTTTGCAGTGGAGATTTTACAAGAAACCTAGGCAAGGTCTGGTTAATTACTCTGTTGCTGAAAATATTCAGAAACATAATTAGTAATGTTACAAACAAGGTAGTGTCAATAGAAAAGTCAAGTTCTGATTATGGAGTTTGCTACGCCCTGTCAAAAACTAGTGGGTATACTCTCCAGGAGAAAATCCATAGGCTACTTCTAAAGACTATTTTTTGCATTGGAGGTAGAAATACTTAAGATAAAATCTGTTGGTAGTAAGTATCTCTGAATTTCAGATGTCTAAGTAGATTTGGAAAACTGAGTATAGTTGTTCCTGCAAGCTTTGAGCACTGACACATTTGAAAATCAGTCTATAAAAATGGCTGAAAGAGAGAATAACTGATGGGATCAGAGTACAATTGAACCTGTGGAAAAAGAAGGAGATTGCTTGTATGCCTATGTCCTTTTTTGACATTATGCGATTTTGATTTCTTTCATTTTATATACTAAATTCATTGATTATATCACATTGCAAGATAGAAATTTATCCATTTTCAAAGGACTATTAAAAATATCAAGGCAGCTGAATAATGTGTTAAAGACAGGAGGAGACCAAAACCCAATAAAAGATGAAAATGTGTGATTAAGAATTTTTAACAGGAAGTTATGAATGGTGGTTTTGTTGTTCATTTTTTTTTAAGACAAACAAATACAGGTCTCATTCATAAACTAATAAAGTGTGTAAACTATTCCAAATTGTAACATGCAGTGAGTGCAGCAGTTCAGTACACACTCCAGAGGTTACAGGGGCAAAGGAATGGTGCAGGACGTTACTGTTTCCTTCCTTAAAGTTGGTTTAAGATTACAAATTAATCTCAAAAGAGATTATGAGTATCTCAGAGAGTTAATGAGTATCTTCAAGCTGCCTGTTTCTCTTAATTGTCCAAAGGCCAGTTGATCCTGAAGTATATAAAATACTGATGCATGAAGATGAGAAGCACAGCTGAGACACCCAGCAAACAAACAGCAGACAGCAACCAAGTGCTGTGTCTGCTAGGAAAGATGCCAAAATATGTTTTCACCTTCCTTCGTCTTTTTCTGCTCTTACTTGGTTTCTCCATTATTTGTCTGGGACTCCTTTGCGTTTCCACACGTTCCTCCACATGTATATGTGGAAATAATGAGGTGGTGGTTTATTGCCTGTTATCTGTGGGGCTCTTTCTCCTTGTGACTGGCACCTTCTGGAGCACTTTCCATGAAGTCTTGAAATACAGAGGCCTCAGCAGCATCTTGATTCGAAATCCCAGCCATAGAGAGCTACGTATCAGCACCATAGACAGGTATGTGTCGCAGTACTGCTGCTGATGAATTGGGAGGGGTGTTGTTTGTAAATGTACTGTGAGAAGAAAGAAGCAATACAAGGTTTTTACAAAATTAAAAAAAAAAATATGTAGCCATGTTATTATAGTTCTATGGAGAGAACTGTAGTCTGAAACTTGATTTGCTAAAGCAAGCAGCAACGTGCAGACAGCAATTTGTGCAAGCAATACGTATGGCAAGGTATATTACAGGAAACGTAGCAGGTTGCATGGAGTGGCCCAAAGCCATGCATGGAGGGAGCAAGAGCAGCTACACCAACTTCATGGAGCTCCTGAAGGAGCATCATTAGTTCCATCTTCACAGACAATTCCAGATATGCTGCTGTGGGATATGTGCTTGTATTGCTCATTACCAGTGAGGTGTCCAGGATCTGCAGCTCCTGGTATGGTCCCTGCTGAAGTTTTCTTCTGAAATGTTCCCCGCTATTTCTGAGCAAAGTCTGATGCTTTGAGAGAGAGAGTTTCTTAAACTGGCGCTAGGCCTGACAAAAGTCTTTAACAGGGTCACTGGATACAGATTACTTTTCCTGGACTGTTGTGGAAACCACACCAGAACAACAACAATGGGTGCTCTAAAAGCACTATAAAAACAATGTTCAGCAAATTCTGGTTAGATAAGCAGAAACATGCAAAATACATTTTAAAACTGTGGAAAACAGTGCTTATTGTAATAATAATTAAATCACTAATTTAACCTGCTTCAGACAGTTATCTCTTTCTTCTTCCAAGTCGAACTTTTCTCCGGCGCTTGTTGAAATGCTCACAAGCGTTTGCAAGGCATGACTAGGAACCCTCATGGGATAGGCTTCTCCTTTTAGAATGCCATGCTTTAATAAAACATTTTACAGAAAGACAGAGGTAATGATCCCAGCTCTGCCAGCTGTTTTGTATTAACATATTACATTGATCTACATCTACTTAGGTTTCCATTTACAGTTTAAGCCTCATCTAAACTTTGGAAACATAACAGACAGAGCACCTCACCAAGCTCTCTGAGATAAATCACATTTCGCCATCATATGTTTCCTTTTGGTTCACTTTTTTCCAGGCCTGACTTCTATCCCCCCTGCTACGAAGACTGCACAGATCCTGAAAAACAGACCTTCCCACTGCCAGTTGCCTCCATGCTAAAGCAGCAAGAAGTCATCAATATCCCCCCGCCTCCATATAGTGGAGAGTTCATCAGCGACACTGACGAGCAGGAGCAGCCACCACCCTATGAATTTTCTGTGTGGCAGCTACGGCAGCAGCAAACAGCTGACCAGGACTCAAACACCGGAGGGGAGTCAGATTCTCATCCATCCATGCAAGAAAACAGCTACCAACAGGATACAGGCTGCCAAGCGACCTCAGAAAGAGCAATGCACATCAGAACATCTGAGACAGGCAGTGAGTAAAATCCTGCACCTCTGAAGCAGAGAAAATTGGAAGAAGAGGTGTGTCAGTGATCCCTAATAGCACATCACGTAGGGTGAAACTGCCCAGGAAAAGTGTTGATCATTTGTATGTTTGAGTGGAGTTGGAGGGGATACATATATATAAAGGTGCTCAGTATTTCAAAGCAGAATGAGTCTCCACAGAGGTAGAAACCTCATAAGAGGTAGCTTATGAAAGTCAACATCACTGGCAATAGGAGTTTCTTATGCTGTAATGTAAATGAGGCTTCATGCTGTTACCAATCTTAAATGCCTTGTGCCTCATAAGGAGTTCCAGCTGGAAGTTCATATTTGTGGTATTGTAACAATAGTTGATGTGGGAAACCTATTAACTCAGCTTTTGTTTGGAATTTGTAAATTATTTGCTGTAACAGATTATTTTTGTATCATATGCCTTTCAAGTTGTTTTATTTTGTTGTACTAATAGCTGGTATTTTACTATTGAATTAATGAATAAATTTTGTATTTAAAACAAATGCCATGCATTTGCTTGCATGATGCAAGGTGTCCATGATTCAGGATAAGCACACAATACAGTACACACAGTACACTTCCTCGCTGCTGAGCAGGCAGCCCTGGTTATGCCCACAGCTCCTCCACAGGATCTGGCAACTGCAGGAGGAAAAACCTTCTCTGACTCACCCCTCTGAGGTGGCCCTAAAAGCAGTTGCTTCCATTGCAGCTTACTTGAGACTGTGGGAAGTAAAAAAGGGGTCCTGTGTCCTGTTTCTGACACAAATGGCCTCGTGGTTAAGGAACAAGTACCAGAAAGAGGATGGGCTTGGACTCATCCTTCCTCTGTTACGTGTTTCCTTCCTTCCACAAAACCACGGAGGCAAATTTGCATCCAGGCCACTGTCATCTATAATTCCAGATGACAAGAAAAAATTAATTGACATTCACCCAGATTTAGACCTGCAACGCTGACTGTAGGTGGAGTTTTGGTTTTTTGTTGCAGAACCAGCGAGACAGAAAAGTTATCAGACATTCCAGATGCCCACATAAGCTAAGACAAAAACTTTAGCATTGTGGGTTGTCCTGGTTTCGGCTGGGATAGAGCTAATTTTCTTCATAGTAGCTAGCATAGTGCTGTGTTTTGGATTTAGTACCAGAAGAATGTTGATAACACACTGATGTTTTCAGCTGTTGCCAAGTAGTGCTCAGACTACTCAAGGACTTTTTGAGCTTCTCCTGCTCGCCCAGGTGCATAACAAGCTGGGAGTACAGCACAGCTAGCACAGCTAACCCAAACTGACCAAAGAGCTATTCCATACCATATAACGTCATGCTCGGGGGGGGTTAGTTAGTTCGGGCGGTCGGTCGGTCGCGGGGAGACTGCTCGTGGCTCGGAGACTGCGCGCGGCTCGGGACGGGCTGGGCATCGGTCGGCGGGTGATGAGCAATTGCATTGTGCATCATTCGTTTTGTATATTCTGTATATTCTGTTATCATTCTCATTTTTACTATTATTATTATTTTCTCTTATTAAACTGTCTTTATCTCAGCCCTCGGCTCTAACCTTTTATTTTCTTTCCAATTCCCTCCCCCATCCCACTGAGGGAGGGGAGGAGTGAGCGAGCGGCTGCGTGGTGCTGAGTTGCCAGCCGGGTTAAACCACGACAGGGTGCAGATACATTAGAAATGCAAGCCATGGTGGTGATGGCAGCAATGGCTAAGGCCAGGGAAGTGACAATGACATCAGTTTTTTCTTCCAAAGAATTTAACCCTTTATGGGAAGGACCTACAAACCTTCAGCTGATGTAAGGAGAAAGAAAAGCAGGATAAAATGGGGTGGAGATACAACAGAGAAAAGAAAATCAATTCAAGACAAGTTGAGGAAGAGAAATGTATTAAAACAATCACAGGCAAAAAAAAAAAGGGTTCCCGGAAAAGATAGAAGCTTATAGAAGATGCCATCAGCATATATTTTTCAAAGTGACTGAGAGAGGCAGCACAGCACATAGAACAGTAAAAGCCAGAGGAACACTGCACATTATTTCCAAACAGCTGAAGTGAGGATGTCCTGTGCCAAGTGTCTTGTTACAGTCTTATCTCCTAACACCACCACATCCACACCCTGCTTCACTCCAGGGCCCTGGATCCTGAAGGCTGCAGGCATTGCACAAGTATTGGTGCAAGGATCAATCACAGCAGATGAGACTGATCAGTCAGGAGATCTCCTGTGGAAAAATGCTTGTCCTGTGCAAGTTCAGCTTTTTTTTCAAACTGCTTCATCTGTGGGTATCTAATTTTTCCACCAGCTAACTTTCAAAGCAAGCCCATGTGAGTGGGGAGTAACTGAGACTACAGGTAGCTCTGAGAACAAGCATGGAAAGAACTTTCCAGTGATCCCATGTTTTTGTTTAATGACTTACTGACTTGCAGTATGCAGGAAGCATTTTGCATATATGGAAATTGTTTTCTTCCTGTTGGATCATATGTCTGATTAGGAAGCTGAAAAGACACTTCCTGCTCTAATGTACCCTACTGCATAGACCTAAATTCAGAGGTATAGGATGCAAGGTATGGGAGGATTTCTTTCATGTAAAAGCCCCTAAGTTATATAAACCCTTCGCCTCAATGAGGCCTCCTTCTGTATTTCCTTTAGTACAGCACCTAGCCATTTCTTACGTGCTTTCTTGCATTTACTTAAGGTGAATAGAAGGTTGCTCTTGGACGAGTTTGCTATTGGAAATGAGACTCAGATTCTTTCCACATAGCCTATGGACAATCAGGTAGAGCTAAACCTCTCTTCATTTCCCCCATCCCAGGGCAGTCCTGCAGTGCCTCTTTTTAGCTCCAGCCTTCTGCAGATGTTTTGAAGTCTCAATGGATCCAGAAATGTGAAACCAAATATATCTGCATCTTCAACCTGCAGTATGGAAGAAAGTATTTGAGACGTGAAGATTATTGAGATAAGGAGAAAATTAAGGTTAGCTTCTGATATTTTATTTGATACAATCTATTTTTCAGTTTGTCTTTTCAGCTAATGAACTATTTGGCTATTAGCTTAATGAAAAATGGTGTGGTTAATTAGCTGAAAAATGTCAACAAACTTAAAGCAGCAAAAGCTTTTAAAAAATTTGCTTTTGATCAAGCTTAGTAGCATGAAGTCATCTTTGCCAGGAATAGCAGCTGTAAGTTTTATATTGAAAGGAATTTTCTTTGGAACAGAACAGGTTCTTTTGGTGCATTGACAACAATTTCCTGGCACAGGTGATTGAGGAGCCAACAAGAAGGTGTGTGGCTGTCCTGATACTTACAATACCAAAGGAAATGGGTGGGCATGTGAAGGCCTTTGCTGCATCATGAGATGGCAAATTTCAGGATCAGGGCAAAAAGTGGGACCAAAGTTAGCAGAGCAGACTTTAATCTCTTCAGAGATCGGCTTGGAAGAACCCCATGGGTTATGGCCCTGGAGATGAGTCCGGGACAGCTATTTGATTTTCAAGGATCACCTCCTTCAAGTTCAGGAATGATTCAGCCTGACGCACAAATCAAACAAAGGCAGCAGGAGGCCTGCATGGATGACCAGGGTGCTCCCGACCAAACTCAGGTATGAACAGGACATGTGGAAGCAGGGGCATGTGACCCAGGAGGAATATAGAGACACTGTCCAATCATGCAGGGCTGAGATTAGGAAAGCCACAGCTCACCTGGAGTTGAATCTGGTGAGGAATGTGAAGGGCAAGAAGAAAAGGTTCATTAGGTGAAAGAGGACATAGAAAAGGCTGAGGAGGTGCTCTGTGCCTTCTTTGCCTTCATCTTTACTGGTAAAACAAGACTTCAGGAATCCCAGAACCTCCAGACCAGAGGAAAAGTCTGGAGCTATGAAGACTTAGCCTGCGTGGAGCAGGATCGGGTTAGGGAGCACTTAAAGGAATGGGACATACACAAGTCCATAGTATGACTTGGGGTGCATGAATGGTGCTGAAGAAGCTGGGCCATGCCATTGCAAAGCCACCCTCCATTACCTTTGAAAGACTGTGCTGACTGGGAGAGATAAAATGTCACTCATGTCTTTAAGAGAAGGATGATCTGGGGAGTTACAGACTGGTCAGCCTCACCTCAGTCCCTGGGGCAGCGATGGGGCACTAATCCTGGAAACCCTTGCCAAACCCATGAAGGGCGAGAAGGTGACTGGGAGTAGTCAGCATGGATTAATGAAGGGCAAATGATGCTTAACCGATTTTATGACCTTCTACAAGAAGACTGGCTTGGATGGTGAGGGGAGAGCAGTGAATGTTGTTTGCCTCAGCTCTAGTAAGGTTTTTGACCCCATCTCTCACAACCTCTTAATAGACAAGCCGACAAGATATGATTTAGATAAGTGGCCAGTGAGGTGGATTGAAAATTGGCTGAACATCCAGACCCAGAGGGTTGTGATCACTGCCACAAATTCACCAGCAGTGGTCAATACTGGAGCCAATACCATTCAACATCTTTAACGATCTGGATGATGGGGCAGAAGGCACCCTCAGCAGTTTTGCGCATGATACAACACTAGAAGGAGCAGCTGACATGCCAGAGGGTTTTGCTGACATTTAGAGGGATGTGGATGGGCTGGAGAAATGGGCCAACAGGGACCTCATGAAGTTCAGCAAAGGGAAATACAAAGTCCTGCCCTTGGGGAGGGACAAACCCAAGCACCAATACATGCTGGGACCAGTGGGCTGGAAAGCAGCTCCACAGAGAAGGACCTAGGTCACATGCTGGACAGCAAGCTGACCACTCACGCGCAACTCACCTTCACAGCAAAGACAGCCATGGACATCCTGGGCTGCATTAGGAAAAGCATCACCAGCAGGTGGAGGGAGGTGATCCTTCCCCTCTGCACAGCACTGCTAAGATGCATCTGGAGAGCTGGGTCCAGGTCTGGGCTCCCCAGTACAAAAGAGACACAGACATACTGGAGTACCTCCAGCAAAGGGCCACGAAGATCACGGGACTGGCGCATTTGTCGTATGATCACAGAATCACAGAATCGCAAGGGTTGGAAGGGACCTTGGGAGATCATCTAGTCCAACCCCACTGCTAAAAAGGTTGTCCTAGAGCATGTTACACAGGACTTCATCCAGGTGGGCTTTGAATATCTCCAGAGAAGGAGACTCCACAACCCCCCTGGGCAGCCTGTTCCAGTGCTCTGTCACCCTCAGAGTGAAGAAGTTTTTCCTCATAGTCAACTGAAACCTCTTATGTCTCAGTTTGTACCCATGGCCCCTTGTCCTGTCGATGGGCACCACTGCAAAGAGTCTGGCTCCATCCTCATGACTTCCACCCTTAAGATATTTGTATGTGTTGATGAGATCCCCTCTCAGTCTTCTTTTCTTCAGGCTGAACAAGCCCAACTCTCAGCCTTTCCTCATAGGGGAGATGCTCCAGTCCCTTTATCATCCTAGTTGCTCTCCTCTGGACTCTTTTCTAGGAGTTCCTCATCTTTCTTGAGCCCAGTACTGGACACAGTACTCCAAGTGGGGTCTCACCAGGGCAGAGTAGAGGGGGAGGATAACCTCCCTCGACCTGCTGGCCACACTCCTCTTAATACACCCCAGAATACCATTGGCCTTCTTGGCAACAAGGGCACACTGCTGGCTCGTGGTCAGTTAGTCGTCCACCAGGACTCCCAGGTCCTTCTCGGCAGAGCTGCTTTCCAGCAGGTCAGCCCCCAGCCTGTACTGGTGCATGGGGTTCGACCTCCCCAGGTGCAGCACTCAACACTTGCCCTTGTTGAACTTCATCAGGTTCCTCTCCGCCCAACTCTCCAGCCTGTCCAGGTCGGACATGATGAGAGGCTGAGAGAGCTGGGAGCGTTTAGCCTGGAGGAGAGAAAGCTGGGGAGGGATCTTCCTGATTTCTATAAATACCTGATGGGAGAGAAAGAAGAGGACGGAGCCAGGCTCTTCTCAGCGGTGCCCAGTGACAGGACAAGAGGCAATGGGCACAAACTGAAACACATGAAATTCCATCTGAACACTCAAGGAAGTTGGGGATTTTTTTACTACGGGAGTGGTCTAACACTTCCACTTCCCAGAGAGGCTGTGGAGTCTCCACCCCTGGAGATAATCAAGGTCCTGGACATGGTCCTGGACAACATCGTCTACCTGACCCTGCTCAGATTTGAGGGATGGACTAGGTGATTCTAGTCCTGATGGACTAGATGGTCCCTTCTAACCTCAAGGATTCTGTGATCCCGTGGTTCAGGCAAGTACTGCTGCCTTCCAAATTGTGTCTGGACACAATGTGCTTCTCATCCTGCCAACAACCCTCTTACAGAAGGGCACTTCTCCCCAGGTATAATGTAATAACCATTTAGCTTTGCTGGCAGGTGAATTTGCTGGTATTTTATGACTTAGCTCAAACCACGTGGTGCTAAGGAGCAGCTGCTAGAAGGCTTTGTGGTAAAAAGCCACAACCATGCTCCTCACTGAGACTACGCCAAACTATTTGTCGCTTCTAGTCACATTGGTGCTACACTATTCTACTCTTTTCAAGTAGTGTGGTCTCAGCTCTTCTGTTTTTGTAAACTGTTAAAGTAAGCTATGTCAGTCACCAATTCATACTGCTCCAAATTTGCGCTTATTTCCTCCAGTGTAGACTATCTTATCATGACAGCAGTCATGACAATACAGTCATTAAGCAGGTATTATAGACACTTTTCTTTAATACTGTACATTATTAAATCATCCTTAGACTATGCTCCCCATCTTTATTTCCTTTTTCTCTCTCTCCCTCTCTCAAATACACTGTTGTGCTATTAGTATTCTTTTATCACATCTCTCTCTTTCCAGCTGAATCCAGTAATTTGCCCTCTCCTAAACCTCTCTGCCACCTGCTGCCTCTTTCTCTGTTCCTGGGACCCACCCAGGCTCTGTCTTGGTCATGTACCTTAAAATTGTTCTCTCTCTCACTGGTCTCTCTGAATTCCTCTTTCTCCTTTTCCTCCAGCGTGCTGGGAATATATCTTTGTATTGCTGGATACAGAAAAATCTGAGGTTTTGGGAAACTGAATTACTATCCAAGTAAATGTTAGTGCAACCACAGCTGAACAACACAGGGATCTTGCAGTTTCCAGACTTGATAAAACTGCTAATCCATCAACAGACACAGAAGGGTCTGGGTCTCTGTCATAGCACCTAGACATTACGATAAGATTAACAGTATTAATATTTTTCCCTCTGCTACATGTATGGTCTGTTTTTAGAAGCCTTCCATCTTTGTATAGGTACATATATGTTGCTCTTTTCCAAGCATTCACTTCTGATGTTAATAAGTAAAAGACATCAGGAAATGCAGCACACTTTATGAGATTATGGCTGCAGTCCTTCCCCACACACATCAGATATAAAGATACACAGTGTACTTCAGCCTTACAAAGTTTTATTCATATCTTCTTGCGGAGAAAAGTAATTAACTGGCGGAAAACACCAGTTGTTACATTTTTTCAGTATCACCACTCATCATAAAAAAGGGATGATGAGTTAGGGGCTAGGCTAGTTCTGGAAGTCTGCTGTTGGACAGCTGCTCAAACCCACACACCAACAGCCCTTTACTCCACTTCAGGAGAGACAAGACTATTGTTTCTGAAGCCCAGGACAAAGTCAGTACTGAATTTTAAGACATATCCTTTGTTCACAAAGACTGCCTTCATGAAAGCAGACTGCCATCTACTGAAGCTAGTGCTCTAGTGACTTCCTAATAAAAGCAAAAGTGCGCTGCTTCACAGTCCTGATTTGTTCCTCATGAGTCTCCCCCCCACATCTTGAAAGACACCTGGCTTCAGTACATCTTACTTTTCAAAGCGCAAGCCCAAGTCCCAGGAGCTTGGCAAATGGGACATTTAGTACTATAACTAGCTAGTTCACCATGTGATCAAAAATTATTTCATTGTCAGAGAACGTGAAAGAGATTTTACAAGTTCTTGGACTGCCTTTCAGAACGTTCTTTCATGCAGCCCAGTAATTTGAACTAGGTGTCATAATCCAGAGTATGTCCACACTTGACCATGTGTAATCCACTAGTTGGGAGCTTATTCGCCTGCACCTAGAGGAGTTTTATTAATAAGAAAAATGAAAGATTAGATAAACAAGGTTTCTGTAAAGACAAATACTCTTACATTCAAAAGTGTATGTGTGAGAATGCCATCGTCACCTCCAAAGAAAATCTGCATCAGAACTAAAGCCTTAAAACCTCTTTTGGTTTATGGGAATATTTAATGGTAAGGTAGACTACTATGTGAGAACATTAGTACCTCATTTGTTTAGAATCAATTAAGTAGATAATGTAAATGTATTAAAGGCAGTTTTATTAGGATGCTTGAAAGTGCAGTGTGTCTTGTCCACAACTATGTATTAAGACAGAAATACAGCATTATTCTTTATTGTGTACTAAGTGCCATTGCAATTTTTTGACAGAAGTGTTGAAAGAAATCAAAACAATTTCCTTTGCTGCAGTATTATATAAATTGCACTAAAATTTGACAACCACAATGAATTGAAACACACTGCAAAGAGGCAAGTTGCACAGAGCCACCTTGACAAATGATACAAGTGACCACACTGTTCCCAAGGAAGCAAAGCTTTCAAACAAGTCACATGCATAAAGTGTTTGTGTTCTTCTTCAGAGAACAGTATTGTAGCTAGAACTGCAGTTATCATTTCACAAGCAGAAAAATGCTGATGTCCATATCCCCAATATCCTTCTCAGATCGATGCGGGATGTCTCTTCTCCCTTTGCAGTCCCCAAATTTTTATTCCATGATCCACTGTTACAAAGAATCTAAAAGAAACTGCATCCAGCTGGTGAATCAGACAAGTATTTCTATTTAATTCATTAACGTTTGTTTTCATTTCCTCTTCACTACATACTTCACTTACCACTTTGTGGTATTACAAATTACATGAGTATTCCAAAGACTTAAAAAACTTCCATAATAACGCCTTCATGAAAAATTGCAGAGCTTGCAGTGTGATTACCTTTCAAACACAGTAAGTACCAATATCATCTGCTCACATGAGGAATATTGCAAAAGACGGCCAGATTCCACACCCGACATACTGCTGGAAGGACACAATCAGCTTCTATAGCACAAATGCCTCCCTTTGGAGGAAAAAAAAACAGAGTCAAAAAATCAGGAAAATCTAAAGGCACAAGTCACATTGATATGCTTTTAAGCAGGGGTAAAAAAAAAAAACATGGGATAACCCCTTCTTTGGGAGCATGTGCAAGTGTGTATACAAACTGTTGCTAGCGTGCATCTGTGAGCAATGGGAGAGACTGGAGAGGAGGAGTGGTGTCAGGTGAAGAAATACACCCTTCGCAAAGCTCGGTATACAGCCCTTGTGCCTCAGACATGCACTGTATACCTCTCTGCAAACCAACAAGAAGGTGACAAGGATCCCAAACTATATCCACCAAGCAGGTCTTTCCTTTGCAACTCTTCCCCCCTCTCTCCCCAACTGAAATTTCCCCAACCTTTATCACAGCAGGCAAAACCAAGCAGTTTCCCTTTTCCGTCACAATGCTGACAACATTTGAAGGTTAAGGCCCCTTTCTTTGGTTATATTGTTATCTGAAATTAACATATTGCAGGTAAAACAAAGAAGTCAATACACTACTGTATTTGGAGATCAATGCAAATTAATATGCTCAATATTACATTGAAATTTTCTTCCCACCCTAGCTCTATCCCCAAGAAAACTTTAAAATCATACAAGGCACAAATGGTTAACATGTTTCAGCAAGGTCCTGTCTCTTCCTTGCTGTTCCTCTTTTGGCCCTGGTTTAACAATCTTCTGTGGCTTCAGGTGATGACAGTGGGTCCCTTTCGCCCTGTCCTCTCATGAATCTGAGATATTTTCAGGGCGATTGCTATAAGAGGACTCAGCACAGCCTAAAGAGGAAGAAAAACATTGAATTACACAAAGCAGAAATATCAACAGACATATTTATAAATACATTGAATTACACAAACTAGAAATATCAACATATATTTATAAATCCCCCTTTTAACTGTAGTACTATATAGTAATAGTAAATCATTTAGTAATAAATTGGCACAGTTACAGTGTCAATATTGTCATACTTGATATAACGAAGCATCATGCTGAGCATATGTTTTGTGAAGTGTTACACTGAGTATACCTAAGCTATGGAGAAAACAGTAAAATACACCATACAGATAAATACACTATACTGATTCTATGTAACAGGAATTGTGGAGCTCTTGTGAAATCTGCTGTACAAAACAACCTAGAAATCACAAAAGTAGAATTATTTCTATTCTGATGAGTGGAAGCCATGTAGGTGAAATTTTCTTCTTATACACACTTCATCTGTGAAAGTTAGGGTCAGAAGGTACTGTAACAATTACCTTAACAGAGATCACAAAAGTATGTTTTGAGTAATTCCACCTGTAATTGTATTAAATGCGATGAATTCCAACAGAAGCAGCATGAACTCTCACGTTTCAGGTTAAACACCTTATTAAATGGACATATGCATGAAACTGCCCAGATGGGTGAGTGCACGTAACAACTATGATTGATAGTACCATATGAAACCCAAGTAAAATACAATTTTTTCAAATGGCAGCTGAATCTTCTCTCAGTTAATTAAATTATATGCAAAGATAAACTGACAGAGCTGAGGATTTGTGAAAACCTTTATCCTGGTTTTGGCTGGGATAGAGTTAATTTTCTTCATAGTAGCTAGCATAGTGCTGTGTTTTGGATTTAGTACCAGAAGAATGTTGATAACACACTGATGTTTTTAGTTGTTGCCAAGTAGTGCTCAGACTACTCAAGGACTTTTTGAGCTTCTCCTGCTCGGCCAGGTGCATAACAAGCTGGGAGTACAGCACAGCTAGCACAGCTAACCCAAACTGATCAAAGAGCTATTCCATACCATATAATGTCACGCCTGGGGGGAGTTAGTCGGTCGGTCGGTTGTGAGGAGAGTGATTGCTGCTCGGGGACTGATTGATTGCTGCTCAGGGAGTGATTGTGGCTTGGGGAGTGATCGTGGCTCGGGACAGGCTGTGCATCGATCGGCGGGTGGTGTGCATCATTCGTTTTGTATATTCTGTATATTCTGTTACCATTCTCATTATTACTATTATTATTCATTTCTCTTATTAAACTGTCTTTATCTCAAAACTCGGCCCTAACCTTTTCTTTTTCCTTCCCGATTCTCTCCCCCATCCCACTGAGGGGGTGGGGGGGAGTGAGCGAGCGGCTGCGTGGTGCTTAGTTGCCAGATGGGTTAAACCACAACAGTCCTATTTTGGCACCCAACGTGGGGCTCAAAGGGTTGAGATAACGACAGATCTGAACATGTTAAAAAGCAATTTGTGATAAGCATTCATTATATTAGTCTAATAGTTGCTGGTCACAATGTTGTTTTATTTGCTCTCAGAGTTGTTGTCCTTGTTCGTAGAGATCTTTTATATATCACCTTACCTGCTGTGCGCACTCCCTGTGCTGCTGGTTATCACTTTTCGCAAGTGGATTAAAGTTACTGTTCTGCTGTACTGTGTAATACTGGCTTATGCTATGATAAAGTTGTTAGTCATCAGATTAAGCTCATATTTTTACTCAGTATTGCTGTCACCTCTGTATTTTGGGAATCATCTATTGGGAATGATGAGTAATTATACATTTTACTTTTTATCCTCGGAGAGCCAGCCTGTGGGGGAGTCACCTTACTCCATCTTCCCCTTCTTCTCTGAGCTAATTACAACAGTTCTTGAGAATGTTGAATATCCTTGGGATGTTCAAACCAGCATGGTCCTAGTGCTAGGCCTCCTGAATATGGTTCAGTTTTTACTCAGGGTTAGACTCCTACGTAAAAGATTGATTCCTGCAACAGGCCCTGCAGCTACTCCAACCCATGCAACACCCAGTGTAGCTACTCCAGCTGTGGACTCAGGCACCGCAGCTACTCCAGCCCCAGT